AATTCTTTTCACTTTGCTATGCTAGTATCAGAACCATCCACGATGCTCAGAGCTCAGCTGCTGGGATAGAAAGACAGATAAACACTACCTGAACAATGAGATTAGCAAGTGAATACAGGTTTATAACAAAGTTCTCTGGGGAAAACATATGGAAGGGAAGAATTTGTTCTCTCTGGGGGAGGAGGGGTTGGAAAAGCTTCATAAAGTTGCCAGAATGCTTGGGAACTTGTAAACTGGTTCCATAATTATGGTTTAAGGTGGAAAAGAGATCCCGGCCTCAAAGACTGGTGATTAATTTGGGGGGCCATGACAGTCTGCGTCTGGGCCACCACTGGTTCCACATTCGCCCGTCGGGGTGCCAGGAATTTTGAACAAATGCCTGCTGGTACCTGCTGGAAGTAATGGCTGGTCACCAGGCAACCTGGTCAGCACATTGTTTCATTAAAATCTGTGTGTGTGTGTGTGTGTGTGTGTGTGTGTGTGTGTGTGTGTGAGTGAATACTACTTCATGTAATCATAGTTTTGTTGTGGGTTTTTTTTGAAGATTTTATTTATTCATTTTAGAGAGAGAGCACAAACAGGGGGAACATCAGGCAGAGGGAGAGGCAAGCTCCCTGCTGAGCTGAGAGCCTGACATGGAGCTCCATCCCAGGACCCGAAGGCAGACGCTTAACCGACTGAGCCACCCAGGCGCCCCTGTAATCACACTTTTAATCTCACATATGATACTTTAAATGAAATCGATACATTTTCAGGCTTCCGGCTACATGCATTAGGGTAGTAACTCCTACTTCTGTGTTCCCCTCCTGCTCCTGTCTCTCAACCGCATGCATCCCCTGGAGGCTGCTGTCTCTGTATTCCCTCCTTCAGGGAATTCCTCTTTTCTAGGCTAGAACTACTGTAAAATTCCTATAAAATTAAGCTTAAGCCCACAAGCAAAGCATGGCTTTAACATGTCTCGTACAAAAGCTTCTTTGTCTGCTCTGGAGGGGGGTGTGAGGGAGGCACAGCGGGCGGCTGGGTACCCGGATACCGATGTCGCCGCTCAGGCTTCCGGAGGCTTCTCAATAGCTCCATTTCCTAACCGTGTGGCCTTGGGCAAGTTACTTACTTCACCTCCTTAAGCCTACATTCCTGATCCGTAAACAAGTGAAATAATAGTATACCAGGAGCAGGACAATCCTGAGGACTAATGAAATAATGCAAAAGCACCTAGTGACTGGTTTGTAACGTTACCAATAAGTGCTAGTTGTAATGATAATTATTATTACTCTTACCGATGGCAGGATGAACCAATTTGGGTGACAGTGATTTGCAACCTACGAAGTGCTATAAAAATGCAAAATATTATTATTATGGTGTCTAGTGTTGAGCGAATGCCAAAGAGCTCGGTAGAAAGAGAAGCCAACAGGAAATCAGGAAAGCCAGATCCATTTTTTTCTTTTTTTAAAGATCTTATTTATTTGAGAGAGAGAAAGAGTGCACATGAGCCGTGGAGGGGGAGGGGGGAGGGGCAGAGGGAGAAGGAGAAGCAGAATCCCTGCTGAGCGGGGAGCCTAATTCCAGGACCCTGGGATCATGACCTGAGTTGAAGGCAGATGCTTAACCGACTGAGCCACCCGGGCGCCCCAGGAAAGCCAGATCCTAATGCTATTCTTGCCACTAACTCCGCGCCGTGACCTCGGGCCAGTCTCTCCCTGAGCCTCAGCTTTCTGGATGGTAAATGAAGCAGTTTGATTAGATTATCTTGAAGAGCAATCCCAGCTCTGAAATTCTATGATTCCATGAATGTTGGAGCAAATAAGTGACATAGCATAGTTTACAGAGTTCTTGGAATAGAGTAGAAGGTCCATATGTACTATGTGTGTCCACAGCCAAAGTTGATCTCTGAGGCTGACAAGTTAACCCCAACTGCAACAATCAGAAAGAGCCATTTGGGGGAATTCAGTGAAAAGGCAAACTACTCCGCCACAGCTCAGGAATCTTGGAGGACATCCCTGTGGCAGAAGGTAATAATTTATATTTACAATGGCAGGACAAACTAGTCGGAAGAAAGGTCAGATGATACCCAGCAGCTGTATATTTAGGCAGGGAAGTGAGTCCAAACTCTTAAAATATTTTGGTTCTGTGCCTTGGGATAGTAATGTGCTGGGAGCTCCTCCACTCAGCTTGCAGGGCTCCTTGCTTCCCAGGTTCATAATGTACCACGCACCTGCTACAGGCTAGACGGAGATATGGTGGTGAGCTCTCTGGGCCACTGAGACCCAGTCTCTATTCTCGGGGAGCTGACAAACTGTTGGATAAAGCATTCTAACTGTGGAGTATACTTTTACCTTTTCAGCATAGTGCTGTACAGTGGTAATATTGTTTGCATATTATTTGTCCATTATTCTGTGAAAACATAGCTGCTTGTGTATTCAGCTCTGACTTGCTTCTCCACCCTCAGCCCTCTAGCAGCTTCTGGATGTTCAGTATTATCTCTTCATGTGAGTTGTACCAGAAGGAAGAGTCATCTGTTACTCTTTTACTTCCTAGGGAGCCCCTCAAACTGGTTTGCAGAGCAGCTCTGGGTTCTTTCTTCTTCTTCTCAGAGGACTGATCTGTTCAGATATCGCTGCTTGGTCTCAGTCTTCCCCAGGGCTCCAGTTTTATTCTTCCTGTCCACTCTTCCATCTTACCCTCAGTTAAAACAATCAGAAATGATAACAAAAACTAGACAGTATGGTGTGGTGGCAGCTCCTCGATGGATAGGCTAAATATTTCTTTTGCTACTATAGCAACTACCATTGACTGCCTTGTCACTTACCTTTGAAGCTCTTCGGAAATGTGAAAGTTATTTTGCATATAAATGCTTAAAATCACCTCATTTAGTTAAGATACTTTCATCTCCCTCCAAGATTCTTCTTAAAGGGACTTTTACTATTTTCTTCAGATACTGTTAGACATGTAGAATGCCGCATTGATAGATTTTCCCAGAACTCACTGATTTTCATATTCCCTGAGAATGACAAGGCTATTATAAAAACCACAATAGAAAAAATTTCCATAAAAATACTTAAAAATAGAAGGCTTGATGCTTAAAGATACTTCCAATTATCTGGAAAATTGATGCTAGATAATTGAGGGCTCATTTAACAATTCGTTAGATAAACATGTATTAAATGCCTAAAAGTGTTGCATGTGCAAAGTACTTCAAACATAAAGGAGATGAAGAAATGGTTGTTACTTTCAAGGAGTTCCATTGAAAATTATATCTTGTATAAATACCTAATATTTTACAAAACATTTTCCATATGTTAACAACTCATTTCGTCCTCAGGACAATGAACCCTTGTTTCACACTTCATAAACTTGAGATTTCTTTCTTTTTTTTTTTTTTTTTTAAAGATTTTATTTATTTATTTTGAGAGAGAGAGAATGAGAGAGACCACATGAGAGGGGATAGGGTCAGAGGGCAAAGCAGACTCCCCGCCGAGCAGGGAGCCCGATGCGGGACTCGATCCCGGGACTCCAGGATCATGACCTGAGCCGAAGGCAGTCGCTTAACCAACTGAGCCACCCAGGCGCCCAAACTTGAGATTTCTTGTTGCTCACTGTTATTTGGCAGCCAGAATGTTCATTTTGATTCCTGGCTTGATTTTATGTGCCCAATGACTAAGAGTTCACAGAGCAGTTCACTGGAAATAAACTTTTTTCATCTTCTCACTGTCTAGTCCTTGTTCCTTTTAGGCCTGAGTTCCCTCCTGATGGAGTCAAGGGCTAAAATGACTTTTTAGATTCTCTGGCAGTGACCTCTATTTAGCACCTGTGGTGGGGGCCTGGTTCTTGGATTCCTCTCTTACCCAGTCTTCTAGGCCATAATCACAGAAGTTCATTGCTCCTTCATTTTTGCTATTTTCCCTTTGTTCCACCCCTGATCATTCCTTCCAGGTCATTTGCTATCTTGGACTATTTTCCACCAAAAAAACGAAAGAATTTAGCAATTCGGGAATGATCCTGTCTGATACTTTCACTTTATAGAGGAGGAGACTGGGGCCCACAGACATCAGTTGTAATGCCAAAGCCACACAGATAGGTGGTAGAGCTGGGCTTGAACCTGAGAGGCTATGTTCTTTGACCAGATGTCTTTTGAAGACACCAAGGTGTGTTTAAAAGCCATCTGTCAAATGAAATATTCTTCCCAGGATTACGTGCTTCTCTTATCTTGCTAATATATAAATATTTGGTTACTAGTGCAACAGAAATCTACCCAGTTTCATATTTCACAGATGATATTGTTATGTTTTTCCAGAGTATACCTGTTCACCAAGGAACTAAGTAGTCATCAAGTCAATTACTGCCGTCTGCTATGTGCCAGGCAGGATAGAGGCATCAGGAATATGAAAACCACCAGCTTTGGGCCTGCCTTTAATTGCAAGTATTCTTTGGATCTGTGTAAGATCATTCAGCGGTGGATCACTAGTAACTGTACACTTTTAGTGTAAATAGTCCCGCAAATATGAGAAAATTAGTAACAAGAATTGAACTCCAGCAAGGTGTTGATGCAGACATTAAGGCCTTTCTTTACCTGTGCATTTAGGATTTCGCAGTGCAGAGGGACCCAAGCACCGCTATTTACATATCAAGTCCGGTTTTAAAAGTCTCCCAAATTTGTTAGTAAAATGTCAACAGAGCTTAATCTCCGCCGATCTATTCCTTTTATTTGTTTTCTTTCCTCTCCAGCGAGCTCCACCACCGGGGAGGCCGGGGCCCAAAGGGCTCAGACCCCCGGGGAAGCACGGCGCCCTGCGGGTGGGGTGACCCGGGCGCGGTCCCGGCCGCCGCCGCCCGCCCGGG